ATAATAATGATAATAATGATAATAATAATAATAATAATAATAATGACAATGATAATAACAAAAATAATAACAATTACAATGACACTGACAATAATGACAATAATAATAATAATGATGATGATAATAATAATAATAATAATAATAATAATAATGATAATAATAATAATAATAATAATAATAATAATAATAACAATAATAATAATAATAACAAAAACAGTAAAAATAATAATAATAATAATAACAATAATAATAATAAAACTAATAATAATATTGATGATGATAAATATTAATGACATTGATGATAATAATTTTTATAATCACTACCATTACCTTTATCACAGTTATCACCATTCTCACCATTATTCTCCTCTTTATCACCCCTACCCCTATCTTTATCTTCATTATCCCTGTCTATTATCTTCACAAGTATCCCCTAAACACTCTTCCTTTCACGAATTTCTCTTTTCCCTTCCTCCCTCTCTTTACCCATTAGCTGATGATTCCCTTCCCTATTTATGTGTTTATTCTTACCTCTTACCTAAACCCGCCCCCCCTCTTCCTCCCCTTCATTATCTGAATATTCTGTCCCTCCCCCTCCCCCCCTCTGCGTCCTTACCTGTTTACACTTTATTCCTTACCTAAAGGTTCTTTCCCACTTACCTAAATATTATTTTAAATGAGTATATTCTTCTTACCTAAGTACATTCTTTCCCTTACCTAAAGATTCTGATGCCCTTACCTAAATACACTCTTCCCCTTACCTTACGATTCCCTTCCCCATTACCTTAAGATTCTTTTCCCTTTACCTAAAGATTCCCTTTCCTTTTAGCTGAAGATTTCCCTTCCCCTTACCTAAAGATTCCACCCTTACCTAAAGATTTCCCTTCCCCTTACCTAAAGATTCCACCCTTACCTAAAGATTTCCCTTCCCCTCACCTGAAAATCCCTTCCTCTTACCTAAAGGTACCCTTCTAAATATTCTCTTCTTACCTAAAGAGTCCCTTCCACCCCTTACCTCAACAACCCCCCTCCCCTTACCTGAGGATTCTGCCCCCCCTCCCCCCTTACCTCCTCACTCCCTCCCCCCTCTCACTCCTTACCTCCTCACTCCCCCCCTCACTCCCTACCTGAGGATTCTGTTGATGGAGGAGACGGTGCAGACGCTCTCCACTGCACTCTCCCCCTTACCTAAAGATTCCCTTCCTCTCCCCCCCCCCTTACCTTAACACTCCCTCCCTACTCCCCCCTCTTACCTCCCCCCCCTCTCACTCCTTACCTCCTCACCCCCCCCTCACTCCTTACCTGAGGATTCTGTTGATGGAGGAGACGGACGGGGCGGTGGAGTTGGTGCAGACGCTCTCCGAGATCAGCTTCTCGCGGATCTCCCACGCGAAGATGGTCGGGTTCTCGCGCTTGTACTGCTCGATCTTGTTCACCACCTGCGGCGTCGCCACCTTCGGCTTCGAGCCCCCGATCATGCCGGGGGGTCTGAGGGATCCTGTGGGGTGGGGGGGGAGGAAGAGGTGTTATTATTGTTGTTGTTGTTCTCTTTTTTTCTCTCTGTCTCTTGGTCTTTACATCTCTTTGTTTCTCTTTGTTTATCTTTGTTTGTCTCTCTCTCTCTCTCTCTCTCTCTCTCTCTCTCTCTCTCTCTCTCTCTCTCTCTCTCTCTCTCTCTCTCTCTCTCTCTCTGTCGTTCTCTTCCCCTCTCCCTCTCTCTCTCTTCCCCTCTCTCTCTATCCCTCTCTCTATCCCTCTATCCCTCTCTCTCTCCCTCTATCCCTCTCTCTCTCCCTCTCTCCCTCTCTCTATCCCTCTCTCCCTCTCTCTATCCCTCTCTCCCTCTCTCTATCCCTCTCTCCCTCTCTCCCTCTCTCCCTCTCTCTATCCCTCTCTTCCTCTCTCCCTCTCTCTATCCTCTCCCTCTCTCTCTCTCTCTCTCTCTACCTCACTTCTCTCTCTCTCTCTTTTTCCCCGCTCTATATCTTATTGCACTGACGTTTATGGCGAGAGAAAGCATAGCCCAGAAATCTATTTACATACGTGTTCCCTCCAACCGACAAAGAAAACGAAGCCACTTTTTATCGAACGCCGATGTCTAAAACTTTAAAAAGAGTAAAAACCTAAATTGATGTTGTCATGGAAGGTATCAAGGCCATGCAAAATAGCAATCTGGCTTCCCCCCACCCCCCCTTCCCCTTCCCCTCACCCCACACCCCTTCCCCCCTCCCCTATCCCATTCCCCTCCCCTCCCTTCCCTTCCTCCCCCTCCTCCCTGCCCCCAACCAATGCATCAGAGAACCTCAAGCCTCAGACGTACCTAGCAGCTTGTTGACGGCCCCCTGCTGCGTGACCATTTGCTGTGCTAACTCGTACTGACGCAGCGACGGCAGGGAGTACCTGGTCGGGTCAAGGGGCGAGGCAGGAGACGCCGCCGAAGGGGAACTGGAAGACAGGCCACTTCGCGTGTACAAGTCGCGGAGAGTGGCCGGGACCGAGCCTGCATAGAAAACGGAATCAGGGGGTGAGCGAAAGAAAATGGGAATGCACTGTGCGTGACTGCAAGGGAATTGTTTTTTATTCCCTATAAAATAAAGATAAAAAAAATAGTTTATATAAATGGATGGATAGATTAATCAGTTCATCTCAAAAGTAAGAGATGAGGAAATGTATAGATGATAATGAACATAATAGTAATGCGATACAGATAATTATTATGAACAATAATAATAATATTGCTACTATAATAATAACAAAGATAATAATTATAATATCAATAACAGTGATAATAACATTAACATCAAGACATATAAGTAAATCGCAGTAACAATAACAAAAATAAAATATATCTAGAAAAATATTATATTATATAAATGCATATAAACAGACAGACAGATAAAGATAGACATGTAGATAAACAGATAGACACATACAGACATATATGGTGTAAGAATATAAGGAAAAAGGGACCATAAATACACCACACACACAGTATATTGCCGACTTTGATGGTAAACTTTTTTTTTCTTTTTTTTTTCTTTTTTTGAGAACAGCAGCTGTATTTGGTGATGGCAAACTGTAAACAACGTTATCACAAATCTAGTTAATTGTAATGGTTAGAAAACCATATACATACCGCCAGAACTATATATACAGTATATATGTGTATATGTGTGTGCGTGTGCATGTGCATGTGTGTGTGTGTGTGTGTGTGTGTGTGTGTGTGTGTGTGTGTGTGTGTGTGTGTGTGTGTGTGTGTGTGTGTGTGTGTGTGTGTGTGCATGCGTATGTGCGTGTGCGGGATGCTGTACAGATATTGAATAGAAAATTAGTTATATTCGAAAACAATAATATAGACAAAAAAATAATGATAATAAATGTTATATTTCAAAGAGCACTGACACGTAATTATGAGTAATATTTATGGTCTTAACCACGATAACAAAAAAAAACATTAACATCAGAATAAGAATAATGATAATAACAAAGATAATATTATGATACTACTAATGATAAATGAAATGGTAATGATTATACCGGTAATAAAGATAATGATAATAATGGTGATAATACTAATAATTATAATGATAATGATAATGGTGATAGTGCCAATGATAGTGAGGGTGATAATAACTGTAATGAAAATAACACTAACAATCATAATGATGACGAAAATTGTAATAAGAATAACAAAAAAATATATATATACATCAGAAATAAGACAACGATAATAATAACGTCGAAAACAGGAATCAAGAACAATTATATCGCCAGGAAAATAAAAGCCCCCCCCTCCCTCCCTCCCTCCCATACCCACCCCTCCTCCCCCTCTCCCTTCTCCTCAATCCTTCTACACAGAACAAGTGTTTATAAACATAAAGCTGTCTCGCACCTGCACTCATGGGAACAGATGTTTGGAGTCGTGAGGCGGCTGAACGGAGTGGCGGCGCACCTGCGAATTTATTATATATATATATATATATATATATATATATATATATATATATATATAGTTCTTTCTTGACGTCAGTGGTATCATTTATTACATGCGCTAACAAGTGTTTTGTTACGGGATTGGGAGAGAGGGAGAGATGGAAAAGAGAGTGAGAGGGGAAGAGGAAGAGAGAGAGGGTGAGAGATGGAGGGAGTGGGGTGAGAGGAGAGAGAGAGGGGAGGGGAGGAGAGTAGGAAAAGAAAGGAAGGAGGGAGGGAAGGAGAGAGAGAGAGAGAGAGAGAGAGAGAGAGAGAGAGAGAGAGAGAGAGAGAGAGACAGACAGACAGACAGACAGACATACAGACAGACAATAAAAAAAAACACGAAAATATTACACATAATATTTGAATCAGAGGTAGGCGTTATGCACAAATACAATTCCTCTAAGATGTATGTCATGCTCCCAACTTCGAAAAAAGCCAAGACGAACAGATGTCCATTCACCGGTGTGTGCATCCCTTACTAATATCACTAATAACAGATGTGTGTGATTAAGCCCTAAAAGGCGGGTGACGTACTATGACGTCTTCCTATTACTGTTAAATGAAATAGATGGGAGATAAGCATATCTAACGCCGGCTTACCATTACTATTATTCGTTGTATTATCACTATCAGCCGCAAGTTTCATTTTATATCATTGTTATAATCAGCATCATTATCATCGTCTTCAATTAATATCATCAGTATCGGTATTTTAAGTTTCAAGACCGAATTAAAAATCAATCATGTATTACAAATAGTTATGTATCCTGTCTCTTATTTATTAATTTTGTCTACTCATTTTTTTTTTTTCCAAATGCGACCGTAAAAATAAAATTGAATATTATTTATTTTAAAATTCTGAACATGGAAGGAAGAAAGTGTTTGGTAAGTAAGCTAGTTCCTTATTAAGCACAGGTGTATTTCATTACGAGCCAACAGGTGAAGTAGTGTGAAAAAATATATATAATTTTTCTTAGACGTATACGAAATATATATAATTTTTCTTAAAGGTACGATTTTCGAACTTGAATGAAAATGAGAATGGTGTTCGAGTGTGGGGATGGCGGTGGTGTTGAGACTGATTGTAATGATAGTGGTGATGATGATGATGGGGGTGGTGATGATAATAATAATGGTGTTGATGATGCTGATGCTGCTGCGGATGATGATGATGATGCTGATGATGAGGATGAGGATGAGGATGACGATGACGATGAAGATGATGACGGTGAAGATGATGATAACGATGATGATCAAGACGATGATGATAACGATGACGATGACGGTAGTGATGATGATGACGGATGAGGAAACAGACAAAGTTACCGGCATTTCCTCCTTCCTCTCCCATACCCCCCCCCCCCTAAACGGCGGTATGTGCAAGTAACCCGCATACCTTTCCCCGCATACCACATCCTCGCACGGGGCATACCAATCATGATTATATAACCAGCGAAGATGTCTGAATTTGATGGATGAACCGTCGGCTATATCTGGTATTTTATGCTTTTCCACTTGTCTAAGTTTACGAGATAAGTACTGCCTGGTTTGCGATTTACTTATATAGTCGTTTATCTTATTTTATTGTTTATTTTTATTTGTTTTTTGTTTTTTATCTGATTCTGGTTTTGTCTGTCTGATATTTCTCTATATTTTTTGCCAATCTCTGTTTATCTGCTTATCAGTATATCCATTCATCCATCTATTCATCTCTCTCTCTATCTCTCTCTCTCTCTCTCCCTCCTCTCTTCTCTCCTCTCCCTCCCTCTCTCTCTCCCTCTCTCTGTCTCCCTCCTCTCTCCCTCCCTCCCTCCCCCTCCCTCTCTCTCCCCTCCCTCTCCCTCTCTCTCCCCCTCCTTCTCTCTCCCCCTCCCTCCCTCTTTCTCTCTCTCTCTCTCTCTCTCTCTCTCTCTCTATCTCTCTCTCTCTCTCTCTCTCCCTCTCTCTCTCTCCCTCTCTCTCTCTCCCTCTCTCTCTCTCCCTCTCTCTCTCTCCCTCTCTCTCTCTCCCTCTCTCTCTCTCCCTCCCTCCCTCTCTTTCCCTCCCTCTTTTCCTTTCCCTCTCTCCCTCTCTTTCATGAGACACACATATGCAATGATTGCAGAAACCTTGCATCATGCTGTGCAACTTCCAACCCTGAAAACCTCACCTGCGCGTTAATTGAGGCAGGTGAGTGTGCCACCTGGAGAAAGGATAAAGATACAGAAGATAAAGGAGAGGCAGCGAAAGCGAAGGATAAGAGGGAATAGGAGATAATGAGGAAACGGAGAACGCTGGTGAGTGGGAGGGATAAGAGAGACTTGAGAGAAGGTAGTGACGAATGGGTGGGATAAGAGAAAATGAAAGATAATAATGAATGGAAGGGATAAGAGGGAATGGAAGAGGATAATGACGAATAAGAGAAATAAAAAATGGAAAAAAAGATAATGAAGAAAAAACCCGAAGGCTGACGAATGAGAGGAACAAGGGAGAATGGAATAAAAGGTCAATAAGACGAGAGATAAAGATATTGAAAAGCAAAGATTATGTATAGAAAAGATAAGAATGCAAAATCGATAACGTAAAGACACAAAAACAAACAGGAGAAAAAAAGAGTGAGGAGAAAAGGTAGATAAAATCTGACCGAAGATAATAAGAAATGTAGATTGTCGACGAACGAGAGAATATGGCAAAAAGTAGAGGAGAAACACCGGAGGCCAACAAATTAAGGAAATAAGAAACAAGAGAGAATATAAAAAAGAAATACCGGGAGAGCGATATACAAAAAGAGAAAGAGAGAACGAGAGACATGATGTACGTGCGTGCGTGTGTGCGCGTGAAAAATAAATATAAAAAATAATAATAAAAATCAGCTAATGGAAAGAAAGAACGTAAGAAATAATAAGAATAATAGATTAAAAATAACAGACTTTCAGGAGTGATGGATCATGCGACATCAGTAAAATTGTGAGGGAAAAGGGGGGGAAGGGAGGGAGGGGGAGGGGGGAAGGGAAGGAGGAGGGGAGATGAGGGGAGGGGGAGGGGAAGGGGAGAAGGTTGACAAGTTTCCAGGAAAGGATCTGGTCGCTTTATCGGGAGGCGAATTCAATTTTTTTTTTTTTTTTTGCATTGATTTTTTTCTTTTTTTAGTTGTTCCGTTTTGTTTTTTCTTTGTTTTATTTATTTATTTAATTGTTCCCTTCCTCCCCTATATCATTTTTTTTTTTTTTTTACTTTTTGCAATTGCAATCTGGTGTCTTTATTACCAGATGACTTCTGGGCGATTTTTTTCGGGTTATATATATATATATATATTTTTTTTTAGGTTCGTTGGTATTTGTATTTACTCCTCGCTTCTTCATATTTATTCTATTTTGTCTTATTTACTTATATGGTGGTTGTAGGTAATTTTCCTTTTCCTTCTTTGGGTTAGATGATGTAATCTATATATTTCTTTTATTATTCTCTTGTCTTATTTATTACCTTGTTACTACCTTCGATTTTCTATTATTCACCAGTTCCTTGCTTCGTTGTTCTTAAAAT